GTCCAGCAGGGAAACTTTAGAAATAAACAACATTTGCATATTCACAGATTCTGGAAGTTTTAGAGCTAGAAGGAGGGGATTTTAATGTGGATATTGTACTCTGTTTTGCAGAAGAAAAAAAATCATACACACATTATTGTTCCAAGCTGACTATCTGTGTATGTGTCTTTTTACGTGTCTGGAAGGGATCTTTAAGGTCTAACAAACATTTTAAATCTTTATCATTAGATTTTTTTTCATAGACGATTAGGCCTTCTTCTGTGGTTTTTCTTAAGATATAGCCATAATATGAGACCCATTTTTATTTTTAAATGTAGGATAAATTGTAACTTGCTACAGAATAATATGAAAATACATCCAAATAATCTGGTATTGATATCTGTGCTATGACCAAGTAAATGTGATTTACTGGTTCACTAAAAATAATAATAAAAATAATCCTACTTATGACTCCAGCAATATGCGATATCTATTACACATAGGGTCAAAATCATCATAAATCCTAGAAAGCAGAAATAGACAAGACAGAATGACATCCCATTGACTTTTTATGTTATGTGAAGAGGCTGGCTGCGGTGAATGGATAACATCATATAAACGCAAGACCATACGTTTAATGGAGGAAATGGAGTTAAGAAGGTGTCAATAGGTGAGGCCTCTGAGAGATTAGGAAAATGGGAGCTAAGGTTAGGCCAATGTGTTTTGTCAAACCTTCCACAGAGTAACACAGTACATCATTGTATTCAGGTTTTCTTTTGCATTATACAGTGCGTCCATTAGCTGGCTCAGCTTTGTTTCAGACAGCTTCTTACCTCTACACTGGGCATTTCAAAATCTGAAATTAACAATTGATTATCTGCAGAAAGCTCTTTGTTTCCTAAGGTGTTCTGAAATCTTCTTTTTGCTGGTTGTTTCCTCCTAACCCTATCTGAGCGTTTTAAATTTGGTTCAGCAGAGTTTGGCTGGCGTTTTGGAGACTGGACTGCATGTAGCGCTTCCTGTGGGAACAGAGGGACTTGGCTGCGGAGGATTTGGTGTGTCTCTCTGGATGGAAAGGACGTGCAGCCCACCATGTGTCAGAATATACCGAAACCCTTCACTTCACCAGTTCCCTGCAACAGACAGGACTGCCCCCCCAGGTACACTTTTAACTTTAAACATCAGGGTGTTATGCATTTCTGGAAGCAGATTGTCAATTTGGTTCAGATTCAGAGGCAGAGTATGGGAGAGCAAGGTAGAGGGTAAAATAAAATAAAAAAAACATGCTAACACTAATACAGTTACTAATTAGCTGTTAAAAACTGTAGTCAGTAATCCAATAATAACAATATAAAAATAATATAACTTGATTACGTTCTGTTGCATTCTGATTACCTCAACAGCAAATATGCAAATAAAGACAAGAGAAAAGACGTATCCATAAGGTGACTATTTTCTATTCTGTAAGACAGAATGATGTAACCTTAGAAAAGTAAGTAGAGTGTTTTTAAAGAAAAACTTGCTTTTCATGAAGCAAATTCAGGAAGAAGCCTATAGAGCATTTTCACAGCTGGAAGGCACAACTTGCACAGTACTGTGATGTTCCCTTTTCTGCTGTAAAGACAAATTAATGGTAAAATCTTCAACTTATCTACTCACTAGTCCGCCTTTACAGCCTCATTGTATTTATACTCGCACTCTTGCAAACTATTCTAACTCAAACTTTACAACATGTAGATTAATTAATTACAAGATTTATTTACAAGTTGTAAGTTTAGTGGGGGTGACACTGAAGTCATGCAGCAGCAGTACTTGTTTTGGTGCACATTTTGAAGCATTGCATGAGAAAAGGTTGATGGAAATGGCAAGATTCTAAAAAATGTCCTCAATTTGTAATGGCTAATATCCTACAACCATGAACGCTCCACACAGATCTGACATTTATACATGAGAAACAAACAGAAATGACATCTGTCCATCCTGTTATCCACATTGTTTTTCACTGAAATAACTCGAGATTCAGTTTAAACTACTACTAAAATACAGAAGAAGGAGGATGGATGTTTCATACATGTTTGTCATTTTGCTAACAATCACCTGCTGGTTTAACATTATATTTTCACTTCTGGGGATTTACCCTTTAAAAATCAGTTAAAAGTTAATTTGTGAAGATTATCTTGCTGAACAAAACGTGTAAGTATCATAAACTTTTGTATTTTCTGCAACAATCCAAATCCAAGGAAAAATCCCATTGGCTTTTTGTGGAAGGAACCAGGACAATGCTAACTTTTGTGGTGCCCTTCAAAGAATAGCCATCCCTGCAGCACTATACAGGGGATGGAGAAAATAAATAGATTATAAAATAAACATGCAGTCAAACAGAATTGCAGAATTGGTCGAGTCTTTCACACTCTGCCTTTGATACACAGAGAGGTCAGGCTGCTAATGAATTCATGAAGAGCGGCCAGATCATAACAGAAGTGGAACTCTCAGCAGAATTTTCTCACCCTGAGCCCCCTGCTGTTTCCAGCTCCACCAGCCTGCCTTTACCCATCACACAGGCCATCAGTCAGGCCCCCCCTTGCTGCCACACACTGAGCCAGCTTCACTCACTAATGCAACACAAATGACCCACTATTAGTGCAAATCAAGCCAGATGTGTGGTGCTGCAGGCTGAAAAACACCAGATTGTCATAGTTTCAGATTATTTTTTAAATTCTGAAACCATGGGACCTTTGAAGACTGAGATGTTGCAGAGTAGTAAGAGTTACACATTTTGTGTGTAGAGTTATGTTGCTTTATGATAAATCATGTATGATTATTGTGCAGTCTGATAGAGAAGGAACTGGCATAGGCTGGAAGATCTTACAGTCTGACTTGGAGCAGTAGGTAGCACTCTGTGGTAAACTGCTTGGTCTGTGTTTTCAGGCTATTACATCAAGCCACATCAAGAAAACAGCCACACACATAGCCAGGCACACAGTCAAAGAATCTGACATGTCTGAAGCACACCCCTTTAAAATCAAACCATTTGGGTTCTTGCACTGGTATTATGTAAATACACCAGCAGATTCAGAGTTAAGATCCAGTTATTAAAGATGTCTATCATATATCTTTTTCTTTCACTGGCCTCTAAGACAGTCAGATAGGGAATGAGTCACTGGGCTATAGGAGATACTGCCATTATGGAGCCTTATACATATGTCTAAGTATCTGTTGCTATGGCAATGGCTGCGCATGTAGATGCAGCGGCTGGTAGGGTAGCTCCTTTAAACTTTTATCTGTTTGCGGCTTTATTGCTGAAACACATATCACCTATGACAGAAATAGCCTACACTCATTGGAAAAAGAAAGTGTGGGGTTTAGAATTAAGAACAGCAGACTCTGAGACAATCCACTCAGCAATATAGTGGGACCAACCCATCAACCGCAGGTGCTGTGGCCCCAGGAGGAGAGGAAGAGAGCTATATAGGAGCCATGCTGACCCAGCTTAGACTTAAGGCTGCTCCTGGCTAATGTCCAGTCTGAATGAAATGGGACTCAGGCTGGCCAGGCTGTTGTGCCCACATCTTTATCGACATCCCAGACCAAGTACTCGACGGGTGGACCACGTTCCGAGTCAGACTCTGTGTTTCCATCGATGATGCTTAGTGCTCAAATGCAGTCAAAGTGGAAGGACACTTTGGAAGGGAGGTGAAACCATATTATCATTACTATCTTGTTGCTGCTGTTTACATTCAACCAGACGCAAAATCAAAAGATGACCTGCAGAATTATTTCCTAGGTGTATATGTGTATGTATATATGTATATAAAGAACTGTATATATTGTTTTAATTTACTTTATTTTATTCAGTTTCTGTTATTTTATGATTTTTTCTTTTTTTTTTCTGTGTGCAGCATGAAGGACCTGCAAACATTTATTTTGTTATACAACCTTGTGTCTTATACTGATGAATACATTTCCTGCATTCCTTGGATTGGCCATCTGGACATTGGGCAAATACCAGAAGGGCTGCCCGACAATGGGCTGCTTGGGCCGCTCAGAATGGGTCATGGGTCCGCTCTGAGAGCCGCTCATTACACAAAGACAAGAGATATGCCATTGGCCCACTTTGATGCACTTGCCCACATCTTCCTCCTCAAAATCCTCAGTAAAGTTCTGTTACTCTGTTAGCTGAGGTTTTACAGCTGAAGCCATTAGACAGAAGACATTAGGGAGATACCAAAGGTTTGAGTTTGACTGGCTCGTTATTTAGCTATAACTCTAAACATGTTCAACTTTTCATGAAGTCAGTGCGCTCGTCAATGTCACTTTTCGTGAACCGACCAATCACAGCCTGAATGGAGTGGGACTTAAAAAAAGGTTGATGTGCTACAGTAAACTTTCTGATTATGATTCTGATTATTTGCAAATTAGTACTAAACAAATTAGAGACTGACCACCAAAGCTTGTATAGCTAATATACAATGTTTACAACCTGTCTGATGTGTAGTAGGCCTGATATCGTCATTTTCAGAATGTTCCAAAAATGACTATCATTATTACTATATAGAGTATGTCGTATTTCAGATGGTCTGTGTCAGAGTGGTCAAAGTGCTCGGCCTCGTGTGGCAGTGGCTGGAAACAGAGGCAGGTCTCATGTCAGCAGCTGGATGCCAGAGGTGCAAATAGGACTCTGACAGCCGCTGCCTGTGAGAAGATGAGCCGGCCAGCGGACACAGAGCAGTGCACCGCTAATAACTGCCCGACCTGGGTCACCAGTCCATGGGGAAAGGTACCTTCAAACACTGAAGTGAACATGTGTGCATGTTACTGTGTGTGTGATTGCACCCATCCTCTTCACCAGCGCCGCCATAAAAGGAAAAAAGGGGAGGCCGGCTTTAATCATCTTCGTCCTAAATATAAGCACTGAATTTTATTTGGAACCAAAATACCTATTACTTACTAAAGGTCCAGTGTGTAACATTGGGGAGGATCTATTGTCAGAAATGGAATATAAGATATAAGATAGGTATCCATTTCTACAGGCTAAAGTCACTCCAAATTTAGTCACAGCAGGAACCTGAGCCAGGGAAGGAGACTTACTATAAAAATAAAGTTTTACTGGTATTTGATTGACTGTTTACTCTTCATTTTTTTGTCATTATGTGTTTTATTATTACAATGTTGTGGCCATATTATGTATGCTAATTGTCTATGCTAATAGTTTTAGGCGTATTATGTGTGGAGCACTGGACCCAACAAATTTCCTTGCGTGGGATAGTAAAGTAGATCTAAATCAGAAGTGAATACGTGTGCTATAACTATAGTATATAATCTCTATGTTACTTAATTTCAGTGTTCAGGAAGGTGTTTAGGCCCCGCCACCACTGTACAGAAGAGATCTGTCACCTGCCAACACACCAATGGCTCCTCGTACACAGACTGTGCACTGTGGGACAGGTATATACACACTGAAACACTTAAAATACTATTCCTGTACATCAGGTCTACATTCTCACAAAGCTGCTTATTAAAGACCTGTAGTGGTAGTAATTCTGTACATCTGAATTAATGTACACTCACTTTATTGGGTACACCTGTAAAATCTAATGCAACCCAATCCAACAGCTGAATCACAAACCACTTAATTTACAAACATGAGGGGGTAACAATATTAGTAGCACATTTCAATATAATGCAGTCGACCATAACACCACCACAAACTACAACCTCAGCAACAAACATATAGTTGAATTAACAGTAATAGGTTTTAACAAAAACTGGCCATTATAAGCTGAACACAAACAGAAATAAAACTTCAAAACCATCTGTGTTAGTCTTTCCAACAAGCTACCACTCACCGCCAAACTCTATAGACAAAAATGGTTATTTTACCTTGTATATCATTGTAACATCATAACTTCAAGTGGACAGCAACTAAATCAAACTCACCAAAGTGGATGGATGGATGGAACTGTTGTTCAGTGAAAAACAGTTCCAGCAATTAACTGAAACTGTCATTTCATTTCTGTTTGTTTATGGGTTAAACTAGGGGTCAGCAACCTTAGACGCACATGCCAACATGGGCATGCAGTAGCTTAACCCAGCAATTCTCAAACTTTTGTCAATAACTATATATTATATTTTTTTTAGCCAAGTACCCCCTGACCAACACAAAACAAAGAAAGAGATATAATACACATACAACACAGTATTATGAATGTGATTGCATTTGTTGAAAATATGATGTAGTATATCAAACTTACAGTAACATTTTATTTAACTTAAAGTATAGTTATCTTAGGAATGATGTATGACTGATAATTACTTTATTTACTTTAATGGCAGTGAGCTGATCCGTTGGTAGGCAGGCTGTTAATACACTTTTATCTGACCCTCTGAACTGACCCTGAACCATAGAAGGTTAGCATATACTGTACCATGGTTATTAAAGTTGAAGGTGAGACAGCTTTGAGATAGCACAAAGCCTGAGTGAAGCCCACCGCTAATCACTAATCTTGTTTTTAATTGGACAAAAATCACACGTAAAACAAGATCTGGTCTTTCTAACTCCGTCCAGGTTCCAGATTTATGGGGGTTCCAGGTTGCATCCTTCACAATAAACCTGCTTTGTGACACAGGAGATCTATGGCAATATGTAGCACTAAAGGCAAAGATAAAGCTACTCTCTTTCAGGCCTGCGTCGGTACGTGACTGTTCCTCGGACCTGTGTGATGTCGAGTGGCGCCCTGGCGTGTGGCGGGCATGCACAGTAGTCTGCGGGAGTGGCTTTCAGTCCCGCAGGGTGGACTGTGTTCACCGCAGGAGTGGCAGGACTCTGGCTGACCAGCACTGCGCCTGGCTCCAACGGCCCCCCACCTGGCAGCACTGCAACACCGCCTCTTGTGGGAGTAAGTCTTGTATATATAAATATGACATTGGTCAAGAAACTTTTTTTGCTCTTAAAGAAATGATGTAGCAGTGGTGTAGTTTATAAGCAATATTTGATTTGTAGAAGAATTTCCTTGAAAGAAATCAATTTAAACCCAAGTAAATACTAAACTTTTGGAAGCTTTGTTTACAGTGCGCTGAATAAAAAACTAGCAATTATGTTTAACTAGCAATTCATAAGAATGTATTAATTGGAAGTACCAATTAATAGGTAGATAAAGTACAAATTATGCAGAATAGCACCTTCCAGAGTGTTACATTATTCCATTACTGATGCCTTAACATATAAGCAGCATTTTAAAGTGGTAGGTTGAGGTGTAACTACTGGAGAACTTCTTTACATACAGCCTGCTGATTACTATCCCCGCTGCAGCGCCAAGGGTTCGAATCTGACCTGTGGCCCCTTGCTGTGTGTCATCCCCTCTCTCTCTCTTTTCCTGTCACTCTTGAGCTGTCACTGTCAATTAAAGGCGATAAAAATGTATTAAAAAATAAATAAATAAACGTAGTGCAGTAAAAATGCTTAAGTAAAGTACAATTACTTTATAGAGTATAATTTGTTGAGTACTAGTTCATGTCAGAGAAGGTAAATGATTGCATCCAAGCAAGGTAATTTAAGTTCACAAAAACTTGCTGTGAAAAACATATTAGTTATTATAATAATAAAAACTAGACTTCAGGAGAAAAACAATATTATATAGAACTGAAACAATATTGTGTAGTTACTAAAATGTTTTCCTTGCCGCCGTCGCCAAGTGCTTGCTCATGGTGGGAACTGTTGGGTCTCTGTAAATCATTTTCCAAAGGAGTTCGGTCTAGCCCTGGGGCCTCATGTACTAA